AAGCAGAGGTGTGTTCCTACCAGTTCGCACCAGTTCGGTAGAACCAGTTTGTCAAATCCACTGAACCGGTTAGAAGAGGTTCCACCAGAAAGCAGGCCACACCTACAAAAGAGGTTCCAAAAATTTTTGAAACCCACCCCTCTCTCTCTCTCTCTCTCTCTCCTTCCTTTTGTCTCTTTGTCCCTTTTTCCTTTTTTTCTTTCATCTCTTTCTCTCACTTTTTCTTTTCTTTTTTTTCTTTCTTCCTTTCTCTCTCTCTCTCTCTCTCTCTGTGTTTGTGTGTGTGTGTGTCAGTGGTGGGTTTCAAAAATTTTTGGAACCTCTTCTTTAGGTGTGGCCTGCTTTCTGGTGGAACCTCTTCTAACCTGTTCAGTAGATTTGACAAACTGGTTCTACCGAACTGGTGCGAACTGGTAGGAACCCACCTCTGATATATACCAAAACCAAGGAGGCTGAATCAATTCATCACAAATTACTTGAAATTTCAGATTTCTTCTTCATAGTGAGATATGTTGCAGCCAGATAAACTCATCTATTTTTTCATGTCCTTTTTTGTTTTATTAAATCAAAGACAACAATAAAATAAACCTATCTAAAACCTTTTGTGCAGATCTGTGCACAGAATTGTTCACAAACAATTCAAACTTGTTATTGTGTACCTCAAGAAAAAAAGTAAGACAATGCTGTTTGGTGAAAGTGAAAATTTATCACATTGGTAGCTGTGGTTTCATTTACTATTGAGACTATATTAGGTTAGGTTTTAATTGTACAGCCAATTAAATACATTCAAATGGGTTTTTATTTATACCTGATGTATTAATTATAGCTCCTCTCAAAATTAATTATTAAATATTTTACTTTCATCATTACTTAACTTTACAAAATAATGAAGATTTACAAATTTCAGGAAGAAATTAGGAATGAAAAACTTGCCTGAAAATGTTTTCCCCATATCATAAGGCATATATTATAGAAAAAGAAGAAATAATAAAATTTATCCTTAACAAAAGTACAATATTCACTTACTTCATGTCTTCCCATACACCATTTCTGAACAAGGTATGTACATGGTGGACATTTATCTTCACTGTGACAGGAATGATATACTATATATACAGAAAAAGGAAAAATAAACACAGAAATAATCTCTCCAATAACACCTAATGCATTTTGGTATGTTATTTCAGCATTATATTTCCATTTTTTACTATTTAAGTAAGAGTGTAAATCAAGTTTATGTTTGAATTTACTGTATTAAAAACTTCATGAAGGTGTGAAGTTGCAATCCCATCCAAGCTATTTCTTTTTTAATTAGCAATAGCAATAGCAGTTAGACTTATATACCGCTTCATAGGGCTTGTAGCCCTCTCTAAGCGGTTTACAGAGTCAGCATATTGCCCCCAACANTTTGGGAGAAGATGTCACCTTCTTCTGCTGGAGCCAGGATGATTTTCATGGAAATTTCGATCTCGTCAAATTTGCAAGCTCAAGTGATGGTTTGAAAATTGTAGATGCTAAGGAGGCAACATCCAATCAGGCTGCATTTTCCTTGCCCAATCTTAGAAAATCACAGGGTGGCATGTACTACTGCAGATCTTGCCTAGATGAATGGCGATGCTCAGTTTTAAGTGATAAAATCTATCTCAACCTAACAGGTGATGTCTGCTCAGTAATTGTTTGATTTTCACACAACTGGCACTACAAAGAGTTTCACAATTTTGCATCAGCTAAATATTTCCTTTCACTGCCAGAGAAACTTATAGGACAATTTTGGGCAAATAGCTCTCTGCATTTTGGTTTGTTTGTTTATATTTTGCCCTTTTTATTCATTTATGATATAAAATACAAAAAGCAAATAATAGGAAAAATGGGGGAGGGGAAAGGGAAGAGAAAAGTGTAGAAAAGAAGGGCAAAGAAAGAAAAGGCATTGACTTCCAACTCCTTTTGATGCAGTAGAATGAGACGACAATAACATCAAACCTCAACTTTTTTACTTTTACTTAATAGTATAAACCAGCCATTTCTATAACAATAAACCAGTCTAATCAATAAATCCCAAAGTCAAATTATTATTTGCCTGGAGGTGGGAAATTTAGCATTTGTAATGCCTGAATGGAAAGCCAAGTTGCTTCAATTAAAATGCCCAAGCATTTTTGCAAGAGATTTCCCTTCTTGTAATGTTAATCCAGATTAAAATTGGTTCATTTTGTTCTCCTGATGTGACTTAGGTTCTTTGGCAGTCCTTGAAATGCCAAATCCATATCTATGCCTGGGCACCCACTGGGTTGGACAAAGAGCAGTGGTGAAATTCCATTTTTTTACTACCGGTTCTGTCCGTGTGGCTTAGTGGGAGTGGCAGGGAAAGGATACTGCAAAATCTGCATTCCCTCACCACTCTGGGGCCAGCCAGAAGTGGTATTTGCCAATACTCTGAACTACCCAAATTTAGCCCCACTTCATTTTGATATTGTTTTGCTTTTATAGATGCCATTCTCTGTAAGCTAACATTGTTTAGTATATCACTTTGAAGAGACAGAATGTGAGATAGGAGAAATGGGAGCGCTTGGGCCTTGGATAGAATAATAGAATAGGAAGAAATAAATAGGTTCTCTTATAAATATTGTTTTTTAAAAGTACTGAGAATGGAGAAGTTGATCCATTTATTGCCAAAAGACTAAAAAGGGAGGGATGTTATTTGTGGCTGAATGAAGCAGGAAATATTTGCCTACAAGGTTCTCTGAGGTTTCATTGAATCTTTCTTCCTTCTAGATCCCAGCCTGACCAAGCCTTCCATCGAGGTTTTAGAAACATATCTTCCATTCTTCTCCATACCGTGTGGGGGGCCAGAACTTAATCTGACCTTTGCTCTTATGAACTCAGGGCAGCCGTTTCATTACCAGGCTGCAGAGCCAGGGGAAAAGGGAGTGAAATTTTTCCTCCATTGGAGAAGGTTGGAAGAGGCAGGAAGTTATACCTGCCAGTACCATAACAAAAGGAGTCCCTTTGTCTGGTCAGTGCCAAGTGACCCATTGGAGCTCCCTTCCAGAGGTAAGTCATTCCAATTCCCCATTTGCCCATCTGGGATGGACTGAATTTCTGGAAGATCTCGGACTGAAACAGAACTTTCAGTAATGGATATCGTATAGATTGGTAAACATTAGGCCAGTCAGAGAACCTTGATAGGGAAGTATCTGTGTTGGGACGATTGAATGTTTCAGGAGAGATAAGGAAAGAGAAAGATTGACAGGAAGGCTGATGGAGAGGCAAGAAGAGACAGATCATTCTTGTTTTAATAGGTTATAGCAATAAAATTAATGTTCAGAAGAATGAGAAGAGATAGAGACAGAAGGGTGAATAGACATATGTTGCAATATTGACCAGAGGCTTATCTGCACTTTTGAGTTGTCCCATCACCAGATTAGAACAATTGTAAACACCGAAGGATATTGCTCCGATGGTGAGTGCATGCAGTGATCATTGGGGTTAAGCATAAGANGGGAAATATTGACATGGCAGCTTTCCAAGCTAGATAAGGTCTGTGGTCATAAATTCACCTTTGAAAGACTGTTTGCCAGGCCTTGGCTGAATGTGGAGGAGAGGAATTCACATTCATTTAATAAAAGGGGTTTTGCCAGGATCAGGACTCTGCCTCGTGCTTTTGGGGGAAGCCTTGGTCGGAAGCCAGCCCTTGAGGCTGGGACCATCTGCCCCACCTCATTCTGATCAGAGAGAGTTCTTTTTCCCCGAAGCAGCATTGGTTTCTACCTGGGCCATGAGGTTGGGGTCAAGGGCAAGAGAGTCTCATTCCTCATTCTTTCCTCTTATTTGATCAATAGTTGTTTTCCAACGGCAGGCGGGATTTTTGTAGGCAGAGGCCAATGCTGGATATTTGGTCAGAAATACACGATAGAGATTAGAGCAGGGTGTTTTTCTTCCCACCTTGGTGACTTTTAGACGTCTGGATTTCAACTCCCAGAATTCCTGAGCCAGCAGAGAAAGCGGAGAGAAATCACGTTTTAGGTCTTTCCATTTGTCCTTGTCTCACACTTTTCTGATGTGTGATACGCATCGCACATGGAGAGGGAGAAAAAGAGGGGAAAGGAGGCCCTGGTCGAAAGAAAAATAAGAATCGGTTTGGGCAAGCAGGGAGGCTCTGGGTCTCCCCCTCTCTGACCGACATACCGGTTTGGGATTAAAATCAAAGCGTCAGCGGCTGTGTGACAGGAAGCATTTGGGCAAACCGGTTGCCAATGCGCAGGGTAGGTGAGTGAGATCGGCAGGAAAGAAGCTCACAAACCTTCCTTCCTAGGCAGGGGAAATACATTCTGTGGTCACTGATGGCTGCGGTGGCATCTCATTTTTGGACGATCAAAACAGGCATTGAGCTGGGCTGAGGTTCTCAATCAGAGGGCAGCTGATATGGGCCTTTCTGGGAACTTTTTCCTGTGTGGTTGGATAAGCAAGCTAGCCAGCCCCTGCCAATCTGGGAGCCCCATTTCCTCCGGATACCAGCTGCCGGCTGCTTTTCCTCAGTTTCCCTTCTACTCTCCCACCCGCCTTCAGCTGTAAGCACAGGTTCTGTCCAGACCTGGGCTGCATTGTGTGTTTTATTTCTGGGTCACATTCCTCCTTTCCTGATAAATAGGATTGGGAAGAACCGATGCCCTGAATGACTCCAGTGGATGAGCCTCAATCCAGAATCAGAGGGAACCAGTTGGGATTATCAGCTATAATCTGAATTTCCAACATTGGGAGGTCAACTATAATTTCCTTGTTTCTTTTCCCTCCTGAAAGGTTTGGAACAACTTGACAACATCTAAGACACTTCTGAACCTGAGAGCAACCTGTGTTTGGTTCCCCCTGTTATTTATGTTGGAAAGGTGGTGTGAACATCAACGTCAAATCATCCACTCTTCTTTCACTGGTAAACCATCTTGTCTGACGGTGAAGAGTTCTTGGCAACTGACAGTGAAAATCTTCTGAAAACCTTCATTTCTTCTAATGAAATGATTCCAGTTTGCTTGCTTGTTCGGAACATTTATGTGGCCATCCGAGTCGAGCAAGGAAGCTAACTCTGAATTCCTGCACAACTGAGCGATGAGAAATCTGTTGGACTTTAGAATGGCTCCCTAGTTTGCTCTTGTACATTCACATGGCCCTCCTGCAGCCAATGAATGCTATGGTAGTCTCATACTAGGCCGATGACAGCGGGAAGGAAATTTGGCTACTTTTAACAAAGGCTAGAAATAAAGTGTCCATGGATTTTGTCTCAGTTGACTTTCTCAAGGCAGGTTTACTCTGCCATCAGTCTCAGAAAGACAGATCTTGAATCATAACAAATGAATACCGTATTTTTCGGTCTATAAGACACACCGGAGTATAAGGCGCACCATGATTTTGAAGTGGTAAATTAAAAAAAAAAAGTTTTTGCACTCTGTAGGCTTCCCAAACCTTCTGCAGGCTTCATTTTTTTGCAAAAGGGGGGGCGGGGGCATGCAGAGGCTTTGGGAGGCTTGTAGAGTGCTCCTGGGGGGTGGAGCGGGGCAAAAAAGCAAAAGCAGCCCATTTTTCACTCGTTTCTGCCCTCCCCAGCCCCCAGGAGCACTTGGCAAACCTCCCAGATGCTGTGCACGTCTGTTTTTGCAAAGGGGGCAGNTCCCTCCCTCTTCCCTTCTCCCCATCCTGTTTGCTGTACAATTCAAGACAAAAGCGATGATAGATTATAAAACGTCCTCAGAGGAGGAAACAAGGCTGCCTGGTTTAGATCTTTGCAATGTAATGTTTGCAAAATGTAATAGTTACTGAGCAGCGCCGAATGTGTGGAATGACAAAACATGACATTTCTGAATATCAGAAAAGGAATGGGGGGGAGGAGGGGGGGCTCATCCACCCGCTTTGGCTCTGATCTAAAGAGGATCTTTGGGATTGAAGATTTTAATTGAAACCTGACTTGAAAGGACTTGCAAGGACAAGCGAGAGGAGGGGGGGGGGGAAATTACAAGGCAGGAAAGGAGCCCCCAAGAAGAAAGGGATGAGTGGGGGACGGAAGGTGGGGAGGGGGGCGAGACATTGTGCATGTCCTCATTTTTAAAAAAACCCACAACCT